TAATCATATGATTTAGACCAGGGGTTAAAGGGCAATGACAATGACATGCAGGTGACATTTAACATGTGCGAGTGTGCGTCTCACTGTTTATCAAAGAAGGCAGAAATATATACAAGACAAGTAGACAACCTCACATGTGGAATCTGTTCACTTACGCACTGCGTTGTGATGCAGTACAAGTACAAGTACAAGTACAAGTACAAATACGAATGACATTATGACAAAGCATTTTTAAAGGCTTTAAATCCTAAAACATAATTAAATCATACGGCATAATCAAGATTTTAATATCGTATTTCAGCCGCGTTTATACTGCTTGGCGCGCATTCGCTGCGTTATATTAATTTATATACCTATGTTATATACACATATTTATTACTAATAAATCAACACTATATGATAATATATAAGAACTCACAAAGTGCGGTCACCTTTTTATAAATAAACCATTTTAAAAGCATGTCATTTTCATTGGCCTCATTGCAGACCAGAGGCAAAAAGCACAGGCCTACCAGATTTATTAAGCAATCGTTAGATTATATACATGGAAAGAATATGGAAATTATGTTAAAAGCACCCCGTATAATTACTATAATGACGACAAGCACCACGTATAATGCTCGAACCACTGCGTATAATGGCGAACGCGCCGCAAGCACCACGTATAATGCTCGAACCACTGCGTATAATAGCGAAACCACCGCGTATAACGCTCGAACCACTGCGTATCGACAAAATGCCGTTGGATCACTTACGCCAGCTATGGCTTTCCATAAAAAAAACCCAAAGATGAAAGATGATCACATTGCTTGTTTGCCTTATGCCTGTTTATTAGGCAAGAATAGCCTGCCGGCCCGGAAGCAGTGCATTGTGGTAGGCCGAAATACGCCGAAACGATCGAGATTTCATCTGCCTTATATATATATACATATACATAAAGATTAGGACTGCTGCCTCGCTCGCTCGCTTCACGCTCGCTCGCTACGGCAGCAATAAGATAATGCTGAAACGCGCGCCCTTTTGGCAGCCAGGCAAGGAAACCTTAAAATGCATGGTGTACCACTGACATCGACTCGCACCGATGTGCAGATGAACTGCTCAACTTTGCAGAATCTTTTCAAAAATTGAAGTGTTCAGTGATTTATGATGAAGACAAAGAAGAAGAGAAAGATTCTGATTTAGACTCCGGTTCTGAATCTGAAACCGAAGACCACGAAGAAGAAACCGACAGCGAGTCAGAGTCAAGCGACGACGGAACTGCTGAAGAACCAAAGGACAAGGATAAACCATCATTTCTAGAAGCTCTGAAAATTTTGTTGAATCGGACCCCCCTAGGAACACCTCGCACCTGCGGCGCTCGGCTCGTGCCTTCGCCCCTCGTATATCAAGCGTTACATTATAGGG